TTATGTAGTATCCACGCAGTTTTTAATCACATCATCTGCTCTACACTGCACTGTTTCATCATGCCGTATTACGTGCACGTAGTGACTTTGCATAGTGTGATCTTTTATGTCAAATTGACGAAACCATAAGGACAATCACGTAGAACATTCTTTATATTAAAATGCCTCTCTCAATGTTTCATTCGTATACGTTTCTTCACTAATTAAGTGCGCAATATGATGTGTAATCTTGCGCATTCAGTTTAGTATCCACTCGTCAACTCTCAATATAAACTATGCAAAAACATATAAGAAAAAATTATCAAGAAATACATTTTCTAAATATTCATGTAGTTTATTTATATATTTTCCACAAAAAAAAAATATATATATATATATATATCTATATAAAATATAATTTAAATTGTTTATGTTAATATACATATATAAATATATATTACAATTAAATGAAATTATTTCAAATCTTAATAAGGATAATGTATTTTTATATTACTGTTTTACACTGTTTTACAGATATTTCATTATTATATTGATTTTCATTATTAAGTTGAATTATATAAATATATATAGATTGATATAATTCAATCAATATTAACATATGTAATTTAAAAAATGTATAAAATATAAGAACCTTATCTTCTTGCAATTGAAGTGATGTCTAAATATTAAGTATTCATCGCGCGCGTGCATATCAAATCTCAATAAATTCTATATTCTCTTCTCATCGATTTAATTCGTCTATAATGGTATACATCGCCTTGTTAATCTAGGTCGTTTATTGATGACTCTTTCAGCAACGACGCCTCCGTGCTTTGTAGCACGTTGTTTTATCAATAATGATTCATGATTTTTACCGATTCTATCTATGTATAATAGTTAGTATCGATATTGTCGCTTTCCATTGATGGTTAAAGTGGAAGTTGCATTTTCTCGGATCATGACCCTGCAAACAAGCTATCGTTATTTGTTATTTTAATGTAATAAATAGCGACAAATAACATCAGTTTGTTAGGAATCGCATGAACATTTTCATATTAATATGTTCATAAATAAATGACAATTATAAGATTAGAAAAAACGCTACTTTTTATTTTCATTTTAAAAAAGTATTAAAAATCGTCGAGGAAAATATATAGAATTCTTAGGCATATCAATATTATAATATTTGTGGGAAACCCGAATATCAAGGCAATAAAAGACCATGTACAAATGTCTCAAAATACACATGAATCTTAAGTAAAAAAATTGTTCGAGATTAATGATTTGTGAGATACAGTCTCAAAACTTTTTATGCAATTCTTTTGTTTTCTATTTATCAAAATATTTCTTTTAATTCATTATTTTAGTATTCTTGTTAAAGTTAAATCTGAATAAATATGGAATTTTTAATAAGGTAATATAAAAATAGTCCCGAATAATATCAAAAACGGATGATATAAAAAATTCGATTAAATAAGATTAATCAGTTGAAATCCAGTATAATTTTGAAAAAGGTAAAGACTCCGTTATACTGATTTATTGATTACGTTATGTGATGCAATCGGAGACTTCAAATACGAGCCTCATATGATTTCTCCTTCGCATTTTCGAATGACTGATGCAAGTCGGATAGTATATTATATATGATATATATGTATTAAAACTTCTTTTCTTAAAATTATTTTATATCAACAAATTTTCATTAATGTATTTGACTGATATACCACCTTGTCTTATTGATTATTTAATAATTAATTGGATATAGAAACAAATATTCATCATTGTCTTGAAGTATCGTACAATTATTATAATTAATTTATTAGATTACGTAACGTCAAGCGCGCGTATTGTATACCATTAGCTCTATCATAATAATTAATTAAAAATCTTCCCGAAATTTTTTCGTTTAACTATAACTAACCGCATCCGGACGAAAGTTGGATTAAATTCCTCGAAAATGTTTGTCAATCGGAATCCTATCTTGTCCCGAGGATTTGATTTTCGTTCTGAGAAAATCCTTTCGGAAGTACGACCGATTTGTCATAGGCGTATATACTTCCAACTTTAGTAATACGAAGATATGAATATACGTAAGCGTTCAAGAGCTAGTGAAAGGAGACGTCATCATTGACTTTAAGTGGGAGGTAAAAGAGGATATGAACGCGGTTTTGAGCGGGGAGTGTATGCGCCATGGTGAGAAAATTCGAAGCGCAAGAGGGGAACTTGAATCAGGTGGAAATCTTTCCATTCTGCAAAAACATTTTATCCATCAAATGTAATTTAATTAATAAATTGTTAAAATTAATATGATGATTAATTGGCCACACAATGTGGAAGAAAAAAATTAAAACTATTTGAAATTCATAAATTATAATTTTAAACGATATTATACAGTTATATTGCAGTTATATAAAATCTTGTTTTGTTAAATAAGATAAAAAATATAAGTATATTTATATAAAAAAAAGTATATATTTATATTAAAAAAAATTTATATAAAATATCTTGTGTGTATCTGTAACAAGTTTCGATTATGATGAGTTTTTTAATCTGACATGTCAAGATCTGGCAGCAACACTGTATGGAAAATGTCATAATAATTACCATTAACGTCACATCTATCGTCAATACTATCAGTATCATTGTTGTGTCTACGAAAATGTATGGACAAACTGACGTTGCTATGACGGAGAATCGCGACCTACCATTATTAACATTGTTCATTAATGCCGTGAACTTTTCACAATGATAACGAAGATATTACGTACGAGATTCTCGACCGGGAATAACGAATGGTGTCACGCCTTCGTCGGCAATTAGCGGAATCGCGCGTACGTCCACGCTGTTGATGCACACATTCATCTCTACAGGCGGAATGTTCCTATGCTATAATTACCTTTATCGACAGATTCATTTTATCTGTAACAATATAGTTCGGATTTTTATGAAGAACATGAATCAACTACGTACATTTCTACGATATGAAAACTGGAAAAGCATTCACGTGCCAATGAGGATATTTTTTGCATAATTACAATTTCCATACAAAAATTGAATATTTTTAATTTAATTCTATTTTTATTTTATCTTATTATTTTATCTTATTATTTTATTTTATTTATATTTTATTATATTGAACACTGCATATACTGTTAAAATGTAATTTTAACAAATGTTGTACTAAAATATGTTAGTTTTTGATTATGGAAAGTATTTTGACAAGACAAATTATTTATTACATATAAATTAATATGGAAACATATAATATAGATAGGAAAAAATTTCAAGATACTTATTCAACTACTTATCTAAATTCTTCATGTTTTTCAAAATTGAAATTGCTGAAAAAAGTAATTTCCTACAGTTTATGTCTCTGCTAATTTTAGCCGATCGAATTTAATAGGTTAACAAAAAAATTTAATGTTAATGAAATAGCGCGGGAAAATGATCGACAAGCATGGCTGATACTCTCGTGTGCTAAGAACTCATTCTCTTTCGGTCATTGCTAGCGTGCAGACCACGTGGTGACTATGAACGAGCGAGTGGAACGCAAAGCCTTGCGATTGAGTAACAAGTATTCGTATTTTTGTAGAATTTTGCGAATATTGTTTATTTCATTTAGTTTTACCTTTTGTTTTAATTATTTTTTCTCAACAATAATAAGACTTTTTGCAAAAATACAAAGGATAGTTTTGTTTATCTCAATACTGTTAGATATCTTTGTATAATTATCTTTGAACAAAAAAATACATTCGTATTTGATTCATAGGGTACAACAAAATGAAATGTATTTTTTTTATTAAATCATTAAAAACAGAAATTTCATGTTAAAAAATTTTTACTCTTATGTACATTCAATAAAATAGAGCAAAGCAAGCAAAAATATAAAGATAAAAAAGAATGATAATTTATAAAATTAAAAATACGGTTATTAAAATTAATTAAAAATTAATAAAATTGTCATCTCTTCTCACCCGATATTAAATCAAAGCCAATTTTTGCAAATATTAATTACCAAGTACACTAAATCTCAGTATCCGTTCGTGATGCTTAAGATCATCGTCATCATCATCATCATCACCAGAAAGGTTCGAGAGATAAAACTACAATGTGCGGCAGATCGACAGTGAGTCGACGTTAACATCGACTACTACGCACATATAGTGGAGGTGGTCGCGGGGAGTTATGAATGAGTTGGTCGCGAGTCCTGAACCACGGATCTTAATGGTGGGGGGTAAAAGCCGCGCACCGTGCAGGAGAAGGGATGACGAAGGAGGTGGCGCGGGTGATCAAGAGAGGGCGAAAATGGTGGGAGGATTGGCCGAAAGCGGGGTGTGGGCCACGTGCTACGGTGACTTTACAATCGTATATAGGCACCGGTCGACGGAGTGGCCAGTACCATACACTGACAGTCATACACCGGGGGCGCACGAGGTGATAGAAAGAGTGAAAGAACTGAGTTCGAACAGGAAGGAAGAGGGAAAAAAGAAGAAAGAAAGAGAAAAAGGAGGAAAAGGAATATAAAAGAAAATACAATAGATAAAGACTACGAGAAGCGATTTACGTATGTCTAAGGCAAACGGATAAATCATCACTATCGTCTCCCTTTAGACAAGTTCATTTCTATTATAACAAACAATTTTTCACCCGCCTTCTTGTCCTGTCTATTCGTTGGATTGACCGCGTCCTCTCTTACTTCGTACCTTGATAAATCAGTTAGTGACAACATCTTTTGAAAGCAAACTTACCTTTCCAATTAGAAAGTGAAATATAGCCCTGTGAAGGGCTTTGGAATCAATACAGGAAGGAAACTGACAATCGACAGCGAGGAAGTAATTGTGAAGGACAACCAAAAAAGAAGAATTTTAAAAAGTAGAAGGAAACGTACAAGGACTACCCTTAACAGTATATCCCTTTGATTCTTTTTCTTCTTCTTGAATATCCCCGCCACCTTATCAAGCACCCACCCCCCCCCCCCCCCCCCCTCCCCTCTTTCTCTCTCTCTCTCAGGATCCCATAACCCCTCTGCCCCCTCATATAAGAATCAGTGCATCGCGTGTGCTGGGACCAGTGCCAAACGGATTGTGAATCTGTGCAGACTGTTTTTTCGATTGTGACAACTCTTCAGGTGATCAGAATCGGTGGCGTATCGTGCGACTGAACGCTGGAGCACACGCGCACCGTCCGCAGTATCCATGTCTATATACGCATGTAGATGTATATAACGCACGTGTATCTATTACTTACATATATACGTACTAATCGCTGACGCGAGAAGACCCGCGAAGGATACACCGGCATTACTTCTGCCTTGAGGCTGTGCGTTCGCGAGTGTTCGCGTGATAGATAGTTATGCGATCACGATGATTGTGAAGAACGCGATAGAAAATCAATTGATGCCAATGGAGATCATACTCATCCGCGATCAGAGGACTACGTCCCACCGGGTCCATGACCAGGCGAGTCCTGTTATGAGAGTCAACGCGCTAATATCAAAGTCAGCGATCTCATCGTTGAAACAAACCAAATATCAGGGCATCGTTGCGAGACGCCATTGCATTAAAGCGATAACCGCGAAAACGCTTAAACGAGAGAAAAAGAGTGATTCGCACCTCATGCCAACATTTTATCATGACCGAAGAACACAACATTCTAACGAATCCTTCAGCGTACTCAGATTTCTAAGTAAGTCAAAGTTACCATCACATATACACATACATACACAATTGTAGTTTGTGATGACACAGCAAGCACTAGATGCTAGCAACGGTAATTGTAAATGTACGAATAAACATTAATATTGTAAATATTAAAAAATCGTTTATTACAATTAAATAGAAGATAAATTGAGATTTTTAACCCGGAAATTATCAATTAATTGTAGATTGTGTATACTAAATTACTTCTTTTTTAATGTAATATAAAATGGGTTGTAGCAGGTGCAAGATTGAGTATCACACGAAAGAAATATCTTTATTGTATTCTGATACAGTATATGCTACGTCGATTAATTCGAGGTGAATGCAGCAAAATGCATTACGTAATTTTAATAATATTTCGGTTGTTGCATTGTACTGTTCTATCTTTGCAGCGTGGTCGTTGTCAATATAAAAGTTGCATCCTCTTTCCGGTTGCAAGGCTTTCTCCGAATTGATTTAGAAATCATATCAGGATTTGCTACATTTGCATCAAGCCAGTTGTTTATATCCCTCACTCCTTATTAACCTTTCGCAACATCGACAAGGAAATATATAGATTGACTTCGCGAGTATATCTACCGAATATAAATATTGTATCTCTAGGATTCAGCCAAATTTTCTATGAACTTCCGTACATTAGTCACAATTCGAAATGAGAAATACCGATTCGTATGTAAAAGAACTCGAGAATCCTATTACTAACATCGATAAACTTGAGTATGACTCGTAAATTTGCACTTGAACTGGATTATGACCTGATGGTAAAACTCGCGTGTTTCGAAACCTTAATCATTGAACGGTGCTCGTCTCGTGATAAGTATCATTAGAATACACGAGTCTAAGTATACTTATCGATCTACAAGTATACGTAATTTTATTTTCTTCAAGTGTTAATGAAAATTTTGAATTTTTTATAATAATTCATGAAAATTATAAGTTTAGCAATTTTCTTTATGTAACATTGCAATTATTTGCGTTTTAAAAAATATTTATTCATTATTTTTTTTAATAATATTAAAATCTATTGCACAATACCTGTTATAAATAATACTTCTGACTTGTAAATATCACAAAGAATATATCGCAAAAATTAAATTAAATTATTTTTAAAAAATTAATTTTAAGTAATGTTTTAATATGAATTTTTTTAAGAAATATATAATAACAAAATATTTCCTTTTGATGCAGTGATAAAGTAAAAAATGTAATAAGCGTGACATTACGCTTTTTTTTTATTTAGTTCACTGTCGCTCATGTCATTCTCTTTTGCGACTTTGACGTCATTTTCGAGCATGCCGATGAAGTATTAGTCATCCACCTTGTAACGGTCCTCCTTATCGATTCTTCGTTTACAAGTTTGCGAATCTTAAGTCTATACGCGTTTTCGTTTACTGTCTTATCAGTTTCTTCCAAATTCTCAATAAAATTGAGAAGAGTGTATAATAGGAGATCTGGATTTCCCAGAATGAATTCAAACATGGCACGTGCCAGGACGTGCGGTATATTTGCCTCCGTCCGCCCACCTGTTGAACAGCGAGGGTCCTACAGGTGGTTTAAATCCTTAAGTTCTACGAACTGTGAAAAGATGAACCTACAGGTTCGTCTTTCAGGAATCTCGGCTAGATGTCCACATATTTTTGTATTTTTAAATGACATAACATACGGTGTTTCGTTGCTTTTATTCTTAAATAAAACGAAATTTCTCAGAACAAATCGATACATTGATGTAACTTCATATTTACAATAGTGGGAACTTAATGTATTCACTATATTCTTTTATGATGAGAAATTGTGTGTGTATGTGATAGAATAATTTATAATAAATTGTCCAACATATATGCGCACCGCGGGTTGCGACCTACCGCAACGTGCTTCGGTCCGTAGATACGAACGGAAGAAAAGGGAGTAGCGGGTCGGGCGTAATGGGGTATAATTGTCGCAAGCAATGCGAGGACAGTGCGTCATTATCGCATTTTTCACTATCTTTCTTGTTGGCCGACAGCAGAGATGCGCTTTGCACCGGTGTTCACCGGCTTTGCGCGCCATACTTTTTTCAACGCGACCACGGGTTCTTAGGAATTTCGATGGAACGCTGTCGTTGAGAGTCGTCGTTGAGGTAGGCCCTCGCAGTATCAATGATATGTAGACGACATTGGGGAAAGTATAAAGAAAGGTAAAATGGCCATCAAAGTCCATAATCTGCCGATTGGTTTCACAGAGATAAACTTTTCTTACTGATAGCAGTAATTGTGGCAAAGAGGATATACACTTAATATATTTAATTTGTTTTCTTTTTAGAAAATTGTGTAGATTAAGGAAATATTAGTTACATAATGGATTGACTAATACATAAAAAAAAGTAATGTTCACCAGAAATAATTTGAGAACAATAGTTTTCCGCCATACGGCATGTCAACGTATTTCTGCGAAAAACAATTAAAATCCTGACGCGTAGTTCCTGAATTAGGTAAATGCGAGAGTAAGTTTTGAGAGCGTCAAGATGCAGACTTTTAAATTTCTTTCTGCTCGAGAATAAGAACTCGTTTGAAAGTATACCTGTATCATCGTATCCCTTTCTCTGCTGACAAATTTGACCGATCGTGGAACTCTAATCGCATAGCAATTAAATACCTAAGAGAAAAAAAGAAGACGGAGTAATTAAAGAAATAAGAGAAAGTAAATGATGTCTTCAAACGACAAGTAAGGAGATATGTTCGTGAATAGCCGAGATTATTTACGTGGATTACTGCGAACTTTGCAGAGCGATAAAAATACTTGCAATCGAACGACTGTTTCTCGAGATACGGTCTTTTTCGTATATGGCGAAAAATATATTGCAAGTACACGTGTCTCTCCTAACATCATTAGCGAACATTAATTGGACGCTTTCCGCCAGGATTGTTGCCCTTTCGAAATTTCTTCTTCTTTTATTTTTACGCTGAAAATAAAGTGTAAAAATATGCTTTTATTGATTGTTGTATATTACACAACTAGCGAAAAAAAAAAATGGAATCGATGCAACATGCTTTTACAATATATGTCATTGCAACAATAATACCATATAAAAAAAATTCACACGATTTAGTTTCCCGTTTATTTCTTATTCCATCATACACAAAAAGATACCGAAAAGAATCGATTTTATCGAAATATTTAAAAATTTAACTATAGATATACAGATCTAAAAATAGTTTCGTTGGATTATATATAAAAATAATTATGTAGAACACTTAAGCGTGATGACAAAAATAACATTCTATCAGATTTGATTTGAAAATAATTTTCAGATTTGTATTAAACTAAATTTTTCGATATTCCAGCAAAACTATTCTTTCCGTATAGACTTATCTACGTTAAAATGTAAATTCCAGCACATATTAAACCCTTATCACGTCTTTGCGATTGATTCTGTAAAGTAATAACGCATCGTAGCATATTCACGTTAAAAATTATGGCAATGTGTTCACCGTTGACCGACACGGTTTTGCGTCGTCACTTTGGGGCGCAAACTTCCCTGCGGCAAATTGCTCTCTCATCGCAACGTAGAACGCACTTAAGAGCCGCTCATTAATATGCGTTAAGTGTTCGAGGCGTCTCCCTATGCCCCGTCCCACTCCACGTTTTCTCTACATCTCGCTCTTTTTCCGTCTGCATTTCTGTCTCCCTTCGTTTGTACGGCGCGTCCGTCGCCTGCATCATGCGTTCATGCACATTAAAATTAAATTCGTTAGCGCCTGTGGATGGTACGACACACCTCCGGTTTTCGGTCGCACGCCTGTTCATCCCGATGAACTAACGATATGAATCAAAGAGCTGAAGTTACGTAAAACTGTATATTCTAAAACAGTATCGTTACTGATTGCAAAACGCTATATTACTGATAATTCGACCTGATAAATGTTCAAAACACGATAAATATTATCAAATAATAATGATAAAATCAATCAATAAAAGAAAACAATATTTGATTTCGTAATTTTCTTATTAATAGATAACAGTTGATTTCAGAGAAGAGAAAGAAGTCCGAAATAATGTATGCATAGGCAACTGATAAAATCTATAATATTGATAAATGTAGAATGCTGTATATCTTACGAAATTTGATTTAACTTCAAATCAACATTGCATTTAGCAGTGTCCGTTTGATATACCGTATGCATCGCTCGATTTTTGAAACCTTCAAAACGGTGATGAAGGAAGGAAGGGGAAGGGGAATATGGATTAAACGCGGACAACACGTATACGGTGGCTTCCCATCGTTATACATCCTTCAAATGCGTACGCAACTGTCGATGGTTTGTCGTCGTACCGCTGCACGTGATCCGAGGCCCCTCATCAAGGGTCGTAACTCGCGTAATAATGCGACGACGAATTCGCGGGGACGTAATTCGACGTGCGGTGATCTTGAAACTGCCGGATGATCATAAGACGGTCCCGATCGGAATCTACCATTTAGGCGCTTACTATCGACGAGTGAGTCCCCGAGGGTGGAAACAGAGGGCCAATGAGCCGGAAGCTCAATGATAATTTCACGCAGGCATCTCGCGGCTCTCACGTCAAATCGTGATTACCACCAGATCATTGAGTAGTATCTTCGATTTTTCCTTTTTTAAGATTCTGACAATTCCGTTAATGATGCCCCTACACAAGTTAATCTTCATTGCGGAAAGGGTCCAATCCCGTGGCACTCGCTCGCTGCTACGGATCTTCGATGGAGCCATATTAACGTAACTGTTTCCGCAATCTTTATAGAACCTTATTATTGTATATACAATGTACTAAAATGGCAACTAATGTCATTAAAAAATAAAAAATATATGAATCATTCTGATAATTTGATGAAAACACTTATGCCATCATTTAACAATAAGAAAAGAAACTGAAACATTTTAATATTTAATTAGCTAATTATTGAAGTGGTACTTTAATAGTATAGAATAAAAACGGATTCCATACTGTGATCGATAATTTAATTATAATGTATCATTTAATAATATGGATCATTAAAGCAAAAAATCTAAAGTGACTATTTTTGTTTCCAGGGTTAGGCTGTGCGTTGGTGATTATACTAGCGACGCTGTCAGTGCGAAGTGCTCCGATAATGAATTCCCCGAACAAAACGGATGATATGAAATGGGTGAATCCTTGTGGTGTCTCTACCAAATTACGAACAAACGGCTCCAATCCGGACATTGCTCAGTTGGAGGACCATGATCTCCTCAACCAAATAGTACTCCAAGCGAGAACAGCATTAAAGCATGCACAACTATTTAGAGATGAATTTGTAAGTAATATAGAATACATATGTTTCTCTCTTTATCATTGTCGTCTTCATCGAGAGTTTTGATTGCGTATCTTTTTTTCGTGTATATTAATACAATTCACATTGATACGAGATTGATACGATATTTTATTGAAAAATTATGAATCAAGAATTATCAATTCTTTAATAATTACTTATATGACCTCTTGGAGGAGATCGGATAGAGTGAAGGAACTTTGAGCGGAAGGAGGTTATGGTAGTATTTCCGGTCATCCAAACGTTCGATCGCAGTTCCATGAATTACGATCATAGATCTAAGAAAAAGATTCCAATTTTATAAATCTTGTCGCGTCTTTACATTAATTGCAAATGTCTCATTAAGAATTTTATTTTTTTTCTATTGTAAAAGTATAATATGTATAATAAATATTATACAATAGTTTACTTTAAATTTGCAAAATGAAAATGTGAATTTGATTACAGCTCCCTTTTTAAATTATAAATTTGTATCAAATTTTCTAAATTTACATTAAATTGAAAAAATTTTATTTATATTACGCTACATTTTATTTAATTGTTGGATTATTATTTATTCTTTATTCTGAATTATCTATTCAACTATTATGCATCTTAAAGTTGCGATTGAATCTTGAATTCTGGAAATAATTTTATAATGGAAATCGATTTTATGAGGCAGATAGATACATACGACAGCGAGAAATTTTTGTTTCAAAAGAATCTTCCCAACCAATCGTACCTTATTATCTCTGACCAAGGACAATAAATCACGCACCAGACCCGAGCGGTTTCTCAAGGTTTCTCTTTAGGAGCAATCCAAAAAAGAGATCGACTCGAAAACCGCAGAGATGATGTTTCGCATTCTAAATTTCATTTGTTTTTCAAGAAATATTGTCTGACATGTATAATCCGCTTATAAAACGCACTTGACTTTATTCCTTTCAATTATATATAAGAAAATTTAGATTTTTTGATGTAAAAAAGATTTAGACTTCTAAAATACCAGACACGAGAAAACGCCACTGATTAATTTCTAAACGATTGCGTTTCGCCAAATAATGGTACTAAGAAATAAATACTCACGATTGATCGCTGAACAACATCAGTTAAGACCAGACAAAGACCGTCTTCCACTCTCGTGAACGGTATTTACCTAGGCGAAGCGAGTATATGACCGAGTAAATTAGCATTCGTCGCGTGCATCGAGAAAGGGTATTTCTGCCTCTTCGCATTATAGGGTCCGTTTCGCCCTAGGGCTCCGGCCGAAGGCGGTTAAAAAGCGTTCCCGTTACATCATCGCGCAGCGATACCGGATACCGATGTTTTTTAAGTCAGCGCATAATCCGATATCATACCGGCCGTAGCTCGCTTCTACCCTTGACAAGAAAGACAATAAATCGCGCACGTGTAAATACCTCGCCACTTGCGACATATAAAAGATGGCATGGAAAAGGAGTGAAGTCATAGTTGAACATGATGACAGGGAAGAATCAAGTTTCTTTCCTCGCCGCTCGGCTCACTGTGCTCGCGGCGAGGCTATGAGCTCCAGGGGCGCCTTCCTCCACTGATATCAACTTGCGGCGACACACTGTCTGATGGTCCAGTGTCTTCACCGTCCGACACTCGTTATCGGTTCAGCGTAGGCCGTCTACCGGCAGGGAGAGAAAGGAGTAGATTAGTCAAGGATACTGAGAACGGCGGAAGTCTCACGGCCAATGTATCTTTCGCGTGCGTGGCGCGAACGCGAAGAAAATCATCCGCGGCGAATCATCCTCGCGATCTTTTGCAACTGACAAAACTATTCTTCCAAGAAACATTCCGGGATAATTGAAAATCTTTAGAGTACAATCGTCAATTCGATCTATCTGTAGATTACATCTTTCTATTGCTCGTACATTCTTTAAATTTTTATTGTTTTTTCATGACGTACGACAATTCATCATCTTTATACCGTCTGGATAATTTATAAATCAAATTTATTCGTCTGCAATTCGCAATTTGCGAATAGCGATAGATAGTCTATGTTTTCGCGCGTGTGCAGACGCCAGTACGTGAAGGAATCGGATAAAATATCGGAAGCGAAGGATTCCAATAAATCAGAATCGGAAGCTGCCCCCTCTCCACCGCGGATGGATACCTGTACGCCACACTGGCACACCGCCTGCATACTAAAGCCCAGACCGGATATACAACCTGCCAGTGTATGTACTCGTCTCGATACATACGACACATATCTCCTATCATGGTATACTGCTGTATTCTAATGTCCACTCCCGTCGTTCCTTTGCGCGATGATATATTTTTCGAACGCGATCGTGATTGTTCAATATATCTTACGAAGTCTACAGACTTATAAAAAAAACGGATCGCATAAATATTATTACAAAGATCAGAATTAACTTAATAATATTTCTATATAGAAATTTAAGAACCTGTTCAATCAATATAGTATTTGCAATTAGAATTTATTAACAACATTAGAAATTATCGACTCAAGAGATATATTTATAGGACGTGTTGATATCGCGAACTATTCGATCGACTCTCAAAGCTATCACACCAAAATTTTACAACTTCTAATAACCGGTACAGTAGTGATGCCGCGCTAGAAGAAAGACTGAAAGGCTAATTGATTTTGACGGGTCCTCAGCAGCGCCGCGCGGAGACCATACCTATTCTTGCCAGCCTACTTCCTGCCAGCTTCCAGCCCGGTTTTACGATTATTCGTGCTCCAGTGTGGCCGACGAGACTTTTACGAGGCACAAAAGACCCGCGCCACAGATTTGTCCGCCGTCAGTGGTTGTTAGCGACAATTCCTTTCATTCTACCCTTTTTGTTTCGCTTTACCACCTTTCCCGTGTTCGTTCCTTGCTCTCGCAATCTCTCTTCGTATTTATATATCTCGCGGCGAAAAATGTATGGAGAATATTCAAGCACTTCACAGCGTGAAACAAAGACCACGGCGATCGTTTTGGAACTTCGTGACTTCTAGCATCATTTTCCGTATCGCACTAAAACAAAGATTGCTGAAGTATCGATTCTTAAACGGATTGAGAGCCACCACATCGTGAATGTAACCAACACATCATAAAACGCGACGATAAAAACAAGTTCTTTTCGGCACTTGAAAGGAAGAAAGGTGGACGCGAGTTCAACTCCATTCGTAGTAGGTAGACGCGTAGGTCTCGTTAATGTATTTATTAGTGGACTGCTTACACAAAATTATCGTAAAATTCTGTTTAATTACCCATCAGATTCCTCATTACGTATACCTACACGATGACGCAATTGATGGCCGGTTACCGCCATTACCGAGTATTTAATCTTTTTCGATACAAAGTGTGGGTTTAAAAGTTATCTTTGTATCTTCTTTGTATCTTCTTGGACGCTTTCGTAACGACCGGGGCGTGAGAAGGGCCGATCACTGATCGGCGCACGAGTGCCCGCAGGTACACAAGATCGAACATGCCATAACGAGGGAATGAATTTAATGAATGACTACCGCGATGCCGCCTTTCTATGGGCTACTCTTGCTAGCCACGAATTTCCGCCGCTGTCGTGCCTTCGAAATCCATTTGTCGTCACGTATGCTTACTTTCCACTTGGACATGTCGATATCTTCGTTCATTAACCTGCACGCGAATTCATTCTTATTTTTTCACGGCGTCATATATGCGTTAGAGAGAAGTCTTCGAGGATATATGATTTATCAAGCTATGCAATATGTGGTTCTTGGCAGCGTGGTTATCAGGAATGTTGTTTGCGATCGAAGGTATTATCGCATTCGTAGGCCATACGAGAGTAGTAAGAGTAGTGTCATACGATGATACACTTTCATTCCTACTTGAGATAATAGTGTTACAATGCGTTATCTACACTGGAATCCAAGATATAAGATCAATGAGACGAAATCATCTTTCCGCACATAGGATAACATGTGCAGAATTCTGGATAATATGTGTCAATGCAAAAAGGTTAACACGAGAATTCTTTTGTGAAACAGTTATTTGAGTCTTCAAAACCATATCGCAATTGTTCGTCATAATAAGAGGCCGATGACCTATACCACAGCTTTGAAGGCTCATGGGACTGAAATATCAGTGTATCATAAAACATAAATACAAGATACTATAAAAATTATATACTTATTATATAGTATATAATAAATTTTAATTTTATAGAGTAAACAGTAGGGTAACAGGAGGGTAACAGTAAATAGTAGGGTTTATTAGTTCCTTAGAATCTGATGTCAAGTGCAATGAAACAATTTTTCTACATCCAATTATGATACGAAAATGAAACGCGAAAAGTGACTTCCAATATGTTATGCAAGCTTATGTGGCATGTTTCCCTCGCTCTCTATTTCTCGCACTTCCCGGCTCAACGAATGATTCATAATGACTCGTCCGATGTAAGTGATCCCTGATGGGACAATTAGTGTGTCTCGGCTGGCGCCCGAGTTTCCAAGTAATTTCTGGGTAAAGGACTAAGCTGGCTTTTGTTAGCTGACCCATCTCGGTATTCCCGAAAAGTCAGCGTGCCATGGCTGCTTATGGCACGCGCTCTGCCGCATAAAGAGCCGGCACGAACTGTCGTGCGTTACTCACGCGGCAGTTCGCACGGCCGGCTGCGTTTTCATCGTACCAGGAACGAGGGATATCGGGAGACTGATCGTATACGAGGTGTTGCACGGCGTATAATCGGTGACTAAACTCGCTGACATCCAGTGGCGTCGCTTCGCTGCACTATTACGAGAAATTAACGCGAGCGAGTCGGTACTTGCGCTGGCAATAGTGCTGGCACAATTGGCGGATACCTGGAAATACAATAAGAGCAACGCGGTGCACTAGTCCGTGAGCCTTTCGCGAAGTGACAATATAAAGTGACAGTGAGATACACTGCTGTCAAGATATAAAAGCGCCAAACGGCTGTGTACGCATTGCGTTCTTGTTAAATTGTACTAATATTTTTTAAAGAACATTTTTCAACAAAAAAGTGTATACAATATCGTATCAAAACATATATGGTTACAAAAAATGTTATTAATTAAAATTTGTTATTTATTATTTAATATAATATATAATCGTGCTATTAAATAAGCATGATTATATCCTTTAAGGAGATAGAATAAACAGCGACATGCTTTTGCACATGCATGTCACGTATTGTTTTATATATATATATATATATATATGTGTGTGTGTGTGTGTGTGTGTGTGTGTGTGTGTGTGTGTGTGTACACACACACATATACACCTTAATCTATTCCCGTACGCAACGAATATGAGAGATATGCAGAACGATATAGCAATAACGCAACACCCACGCGGAATAATTTTTCTCAAATTTCCGCGAGATTACACGCACTAAGAAGATGATGATGAGGAAACTTGATAGTCCCGCATATCTTTCTTCGATGTTGCGGCTCCTTTTTTGAGAGAAACGATGTATCTAATTGTGCTCATGTTTTTCTTCTATGATTTTGCAGATCAGACAAACTTTCAAGACGGACTTCGCCAGCGTCCACAATTTGTGGAGGAAATATCATTACGCTTGGCTGCCTACACGATCTGAAATACCCAAAGAACTGGGAGAGGAACTGGATAAGGAACATCTTAACAAATTGGATGTACGTTATCAATTAATTTATTTGTCGTTTTATCTGTCTGCATAGTTATTGTTTACAATCTATTACAATACAATAATTTATTGGAAATATATATATGTAAGTAAGTCAATAAATACCTTAATTTTTGCAACCTTAGTTTGTTAAAGATAAAATTAAAGTTACTTACTGACTAATTTGTTCTGCATACACATATACATTCACACATATTTCTAACGTATATATTCTTTTTCTTTAAAATACGTACAGTATATATTTTTTCACGACACGTACATGTGCATGAATAATTACACACCTATAAATGGATGATTAACAGTATGTTCGGATTTATATATTTTCAGATTAACACGTCTCTCGTCGATGCGTATGAATATATGCAGAAATATGCGGTGGGCTTAGAGCAGGTAGTTTTGGATCAAAAGGATTATCAGCCTAAGTATCATCAGAAATTCACAGAAGCCGAATGGAAACTTCGAGCGGTAAGTTCAGTTTCGGGATTATCTTAAATCCGTTATCTTCCTAAATAATTATGTTGAGCCATGAGTATTCGATCTGTAACTCTTTCTCGGCGTGCGGTATAAAAAAAAGAACTGTTGTGCGCGACTTTCACAATAACATCGGCACAATTGGCCTGAATTATTCTGCCTTCTGTTGCTGCAAGTATGATAAAAGACGTTTCGCCAAGTTTTACGATCATTTTACGTAAAGGTTGAGACGTTAAAGATCGTCGCTAACTGCCATTTTATTGACCATTCCGGCAAATAGCTTTGGACGCGCTCAAGTTCCTATTAGAGTTTCTTGTGTTTTTTAGTTTTTTTTTTTTTTTATATACATCGACTTCGAAAACACATTTTGAAAGATTGCAGAAATCAGTCATCGCCTATTAAAAATCATTAATAACATTTATCTTGAACCTCGTATTTAAGTACAAAACAATGTTACTTTTGCAATTAATTTTAAATTAATAATTTCATTTATATATAAAATTAGAGTAACTTTACATAGATGTTAAAAATTGCAAAATGCTTTAATGTCAATTTTTATTAAAAACTTTTATCATGATATATTTTCCAATTACAAGTGTTTTTAATGTCCTGATGCTTCTCTTTTCTCAGGTTCTGTGTGAGATCCAAGTTGCTATAGAAGAACGTAGTGTAACGCGACGGCCGGACGTCACTCGAGATGTTATGACATCTGATTTCCGAACGATGACAGACATGACGTCCCGTGATCTGCGTGACTGGCTGATTTTCCGCGAATACATGAATGGTCTCGAATACGTGATACAAGTATTTTCACATCTACGCCTACGTCTGTAATCTGTACAATTATGAAGATCCGTAAAAAGCCGAAGAAGGGCTACAAGACGACGCTCTCATCTTACAAAATTAACGTAGTTACTAATGGCTCCATTTTCCTGAGGAGAAGAAATATAGGGAAGAGGATAGAAGGATCTTCCGATTATCTTCTAATTATCATTTAAAGAGCAATTTTAACGAAATGTGTCTCTGCAACAAGGATCGGGCTATTTGTTGGTATCGACGATGAGAATCAATATTGTCGAACCGACTAATATACCGCATCACAATATCTACATTAAGCTTCTATGATAACTTTGAAATAGAAGTGCCATCAATGCTCCCGACACTTCAATTACCATCCTTTTCGATACTCTTTAATGGTACTTCGTACGGAACAAGATAGAATGGAGAAAAAAAGGAACAAAACTGAAAGAAAAAAAACTGCGTCGTTATTGGCCCACTGGCTTTCGCCGTTACAGTTCACGGCCACATACACATAATCGTGCATATTCACACAAACTATGATTTCGCGCGAAGATGCCCTACAAACGCGCGTGCGTATTTGACTCTATATATGAGAAAGAAAGTAGGATTATCTCTCTTTATGTAAGTTCAATGGCTCAATCATTTAACATTGAACGTAAAATAACTCTCGAGATAATTATTACATATCACGGTTATCTTACAATCTAAGAACGTGATATCCTTTATACTCGATATTTCTTCTTTCAATACGTTATTAACATTGAACATGGCCACGATTTAATTGGCTTGATTTTCAGTAAAGATTCAAATTTTTAAATAATATTCCTCAATATGAATAAGATTTGTGACAATCACTACTGCTATAAGTGATTGTTACATGAAGTATAAAAATACACATAAGATTGAATGAAAGTACACAGGTAAATTTTACGAAAAATTTAAATTGATTTTTTAAAGTAATGATTATTCACATCGTATTTTGCTTGTCATAGTAGTTTGAACATATGAATACTTTATAATACTTAACATTACACGTTCTATGCTCAGTGTAAAATGAAAAGTGAGTAAAAGATTACTGATTAACTGAGAAAGAAGATAGTTAATAGGGAGGAATCCAATCTTGCTGTAGGTTCATAATGAAACACAATATTTTGGATCTCGCAGTAATTTAGATCTCTCGTAATTAGATGCGCGTGTACGTATCACATTATGCACACAAAACTCCCACAACACTGTTGAAAGGACTCTCTTCGCGAGCGATTCATACTCTCCACAATCTTATATAATAATTTATTGACTACTTATATATATGTTTCCATATAATATAATATTATATTATGTGTAAAACATTATATATAATATTAGTATATCCATATTTATTCAGATTATTTATTTTATTTTTATAAAGATTTTACACTCCGATTAATTAAAGTATTTAAAGTATCTAGTTGAGCTTAAAAGTGCCTAGTGTATATGAAAGAGAGAAGGCTATAAGACACAATTAAGATTTCGTACATATGTGCAATTATTTTGCTCGCGTGTACGAAATTTCATAATTACAATATTATTAATATCGTGCAAAAGGAGAAGAACGCATCTCCGCGACGAATATGTCGTGTGTCGCGCTGTTGCTACTGCTTCTCTTCTTGACGTACCTTTGCAGGGTATAAGAACTCTAATCACACACAGAAACTTAACGAGGCTGGTTAATTTCGCACTTTTGATCGCAATTATTTCACTCGCAAATGAGATCCTTCTAGTATTATATTTTACTCTATTTTATTCTTTTAAAAAATATTCTTTTACATCATTTTTTTTATGCCAACATCAACATTTTTATTAATATAATAACATGCGAGACTGTTGAAGACTATTGGCAACAGGGTATATCATATAAAAATTTCATCAATCCAAATTTATTATTTTATTCCATAAATCTATCATGATGCTATTTTGACAATCAATATATATATATAATTTTTTAATGCATATGATATATATTTTTATATCATGATCTACTCCATTTTAAATATTATCTTACGCCATTGCAGTCTTCAAAACTAATACCAGAAGAATTTTTTGGTACTTACGATTCATAATCGCGTGATCTTTTCTAAAAGATCGGTCATAATAGAAAGTTATTGTGCGATCATCTGCAAATAACTAATGTATTAAAGTATGTATTGTCATACTTAATTTTCATATCAGTAGTAACATGTAAATCATAT